GCAGGAGGGGCTGCTGCTGCTGCTGCGCCAAATCCTGGGGTCGAGGAAGGGGGCTTCTTGCCCGCGAAATGGGGGCGCTTGGAGAAGTTTGGTGGGGTCGGGAGGGGATTCCTTCCCGCCTTTAGAGGGGTCCTGGATGCTGTCGTTACGTTCATTTTCTGGCATGGGGGTTACCCCTGGAGGGGTGGACCGGAAGCAAAGGGACAGGGCTGCTGCTGCTGCTGCTGGTGCTATTATTGCGCTTTTTTTATCCATAACTCAAGGCGGAGAACATGCCTAATTCTCCGGCCTCCTGTTTTCCCCGCAACAACAACCCTGTGAGGTCGGTTGGGCTGTTCGGCTGAAAGAGAGGGACTGGCCCAGAGTTACCCAGTCGGGTTGCCAGGTGCAGGGGAAGGGATGGAGCAGGGAGAAAAGCGACTGGCCCAAACAGCGCACGTCCCTTCCTGTACACACTGCTTAACGGACAGGGGCATGTTTCAGTTGCCTGGGAAAGTCTAAGCACTCCAACTCAAGGTATAGGGGCTTGACTTCCTGTGGGATGGGCTTCTGGTTGCTGCCGAAAGAGGAAGGCCGAGATGCAAATTGAACGAGTTCGAATCTGTTCTAAGGGTGCTGGTGCTGGCTTTCAGCTCCCGTGGATCCTTAGTGAAAAGTATTGATAGTCCAGAAGTATTGATGCACCATGTGACATTTCAAAACATTGCCTTGCCCCCAGTTTGAGCCTTTTTGGGCAGCTTCAATAAACTTTTCTTTTTCTCTCCAGACAAAGAGCAGCAGGAAGCAATTGAACATATTGATGAAGTACAGAATGAAATAGACAGGTAAGTCACGTCTTTATGCTTTTAAAGGAGACATTAACTGTGTTTTATTGTAAGTTTGCCGTCCTATAAAAGAACTATATTGTAAATCTGTTTTCCTTATTTAGTAACTGGCTGTAAAAAGATGTAATCTGAGAAGATGTTTTTTAATACAGAATTTCAATGTCTAAAACTTTAACTTTTATATGGAATTAGCTGGGAAAAATCCCTTTTTTACAATGTAACTCAATTTGCCTGTTTCAGTTCTCTTCCCACCCACTTTTTTGAGGATTTGATATAAACTGTAACATTATTTCTGCAAAACAAGAGCTCTCGTGCAGAACAATTAAAACAGATTAATGGGAACTTGCTCAGTTCATTTCTTTTGCACACTGTGGAACTTTTCAGTTATTGAGCTGAGACTTTCCAGCTAAGGCCAACACAAAATCTGTGTTTGGTAAATGTTACATTTTATGATGAAAGTGGATTTGGTATTTCCCTATGTGAAAACTTTAATGTTGGGTTAAACCCTGCTTAATACTCTAGTTTTAAGTACCGTAAAAGTAACATTTTAAAAATGCTTTTCATGTGTGTTTAACTCTTGTGCTTCAGACTGAATGAACAAGCCAGTGAGGAGATTTTGAAAGTAGAACAGAAATACAACAAACTCCGCCAACCATTCTTCCAGAAGAGGTCAGAATTGATCGCCAAAATCCCCAACTTTTGGGTAACAACATTTGTCAACCACCCACAAGGTAAACAAAGTTTTCTAGAAACTCACAAAACAATTTCTTAAAGTGACTTGCAGTGTTTCATATCACATGCAAATGAAAGTTTTGAAATGCAAAGGTCAGTTCCTTGAGTCAGTTCCTATTTTTATTGTTTTCTTTTACATTCAGCATTCCAGAACAGTTCAGAAGAAGTTTAGTAGGAGGGAAGCATGTGTTTGAGAGAAAAACAGACCTTATCAGTGGGATAAAGGCTTCATATGAAACTGTTTGTAACATAAACTTTCTCTCTCAGTATCTGCACTGCTGGGGGAAGAAGATGAAGAAGCACTGCATTATTTGATCAGAGTTGAGGTGACGGAGTTTGAGGACATCAAATCAGGTTACAGAATAGATTTTGTAAGTATGGGTGGATGATGCCATTTTTACACTTATATCCAGTTGGGTCATTTTTCTGGCAAATGCTGTTTGGAACAAATTTTCTAGGCAGCGTGCCCCAAAATATCCTCCAGAGGATGGGTGGATCCTTCACAACAGTTTTGAGGTGCTTCTGGGTGATGCGGAGGGAGGAGAAACAATCTGCACTTGCGTTGCGCTGTGGGAAGGGTACAAGCTTAATGTATGGGTGGCGGGAAATTATTTTAGATGCCCTATTATGCAGTATGTAAATTTCAGAGTTTCCAACTTTGTACGTTCCCTTGTTTGCAGTATTTTGATGAGAATCCATATTTTGAAAACAAGATGCTCTCCAAAGAGTTTCATCTGAATGAAAGCGGAGACCCGTCATCCAAATCCAGTGAAATCAAATGGAAATCTGGGAAGGTATTTAGCTCCATTAAATATAAAATTACCATACGTAACGGTAAAAAACCAGGATGAGTCTGGTAGCAGCAGCTCACAAAAGCTGATGTTCCCAGACTCCCTAATTTTTTTACTATCTAGACTAACATGACAGCATCCTACAGTGTCTGTATATGTAAGAGTGTCATTCCGGTTATATCGTTGATTCGGGGTTTTAATGTAGCATCTCCTCCAGCTAAAATTGGAAGCAGGCAGACAGTTTGATTGATGGAGTTAGCCGTTGGGAATTGTTTCTCGACATCCTTGCAGCATGTCAGATTTAATACAACCCAGTAACGTGAAGGGGAGGTCTTGATCTGAAGCAGTAATCAGCCTGCCACAGGCAAATGGAAACGATGGGAGTGTGAAAAATCTTCTGTCCAACTGAACTGAATTGGTTTATTCACTGTTACCTTTATGCTGCTGTTTTTTCAGGGTGTTCAGGCCGACGTTTGTCATTCTTCCCTTTAACTTCACAACAACTTTATGTGGCAGAGTTGGGCTGTGATAGAATGTAATGGGCCTAGGTTCACAGTTTTGAACATTTCCTCATCCTGTTTAGAGCTGGTGCTGACAAAAGTTCTCGGGGGAAAACCCGTAAGAACAGTAAAATCTGCATTTTTCCTGCAGTAGAGATGAGCATGCTACCATAGGTTGCTCCTGGAAGCAGGATCAGATCCTTTTTCCCCTTGTGGTGGGAGGGAGAACTTGCAGGTCATGTCTGGCTGCAGTTGCCCTTTTCATAATGCTTAAAATATAACTGGCTGCAATGTTTGTTACTGTCTTAAGCAGTTCCCAATAGGAAGCTCTGTTTTCCTTCATTATTGCTGGCTTTTGTGCCGTGATAGAGGGTCACGGGGGCTGCTGAAGAGAAAGAGAGATGCCGAATTGGTTGACGTGGTTAAGCAGAATTTAGCTTCCAAACTGTAGTAGAAATGCTTTTATAAGTCAAACGGGTCTGTCGTGGGGGGCACATGACTGCTGACTTTTTTATAACAAGCCAAGGAGGCTTGTGGTAGCCCAAACAAACGTGCAAGCAGAAGAGAAGCGGGCAGGTGGTTTGATCTTCTGTGTTTTCCTGACCCAGGATCTGACAAAGCGCTCCAGCCAGACGCAGAACAAGGCCAGCAGAAAGAGGCAGCATGAAGAGCCGGAAAGCTTCTTCACTTGGTTCACCGACCACTCTGACGCAGGAGCCGACGAATTGGGGGAGGTCATCAAGGATGACATTTGGCCGAATCCATTGCAGTACTACTTGGTGAGCGTTCCCCACGAAGGCCGTTGGCTGCGGGGCTGTTCCGAGGGCATCGGGCCCCTGTGCTAACTTTGTTTGCACCCAATAAGGTACCTGACATGGATGACGAAGAAGGTGAGGGAGAAGAGGATGACGACGACGACGAAGAGGAGGAGGGCTTGGAGGACATTGATGAGGAAGGTGATGAAGATGAGGGTGAGGAAGATGAAGATGATGATGAGGGAGAAGAAGGAGAGGTTAGAGCTCTAAGATTTCCCTCTTGGGATGGCAGTTAGTCATCTTGCATTGTCCTGAACTTTATCAAGCTCAGAACAGAACTAGTCTTTGAAGATTCAGTCAAGCGAATACTTCACTCTAAACTGCTGTTCTGGCTGCTTCGAAGTTCGAATTCAGCCGGCCCCAAAGTCTTAGTTACCGCTTGACCAACTTGCGTGAATAACTTGCATTCCGTCAGCGAGCAGGAGAATATTAAAGTAATTTTGCAGATAAATCCCATATAATTAAAAATTATATATACAGGAGTTAATTAGCACACCTAGCTAATTTATGGCATTTGAATGGATTGGAAGGAAGTGTTTATTTGCTGCCGTGAGTTAATGTACTGCTACCAACTTAGGGGAGAAATGCCAGTGGGCAAGTTGTATAAGCACCAGTTAATAGTTTTTCTCCTCTAGGTGGTATAACCTGCTATTTTACTTAGGTCATGTTATGCTCCAGAGCCTGGCGGGGGAATTCTGGGAGTTGAAGTCCACACATCTTAAAGTTGCTGAGGTTGGGAAACCCTGCTCCAGAGGATCTCCTTTTTGTGCATGACCCAAAGGGCTAAAGCAAGAATCTCGCTTCAGTAGTTTGCACAGTAGAAGCCCACTTGGCTACATTTACCTGAAAGGAAAACTAGTTTTTATCTTGAAAATTGTCTCAGATTCAGTGAGAATATGATAGTGGTGCTAGGTTGTTTTTTTCTCCCCCTTCAAACCTTTATTGGCTGGAGGTCATTTCAAACTCAGGATCATCTTTTAGGAGAATATAGTATTTGCTAGTGGCGTTATACCACTGTAAGGCTAAAGAAATTCAAAGAGCCATTAATATGATTTGTAATCCAAAAATGGAATCCCGCTAAGCATCACACAGCCATAAGAGACCTAGATCAAGTTTGTTCAAACACCATCCATCCCACTGCTTAAAGCTGCTTGTTTCCATTTTTTGCCAATTTCAGGCCAATTGTTTCAAGAGCTGTTAGATTGTCATGTGGAGGAAACTGACAAGCAGATGCTTCGCTAACCCAATCGTTTATTTGAAAATGTTGCTTTTCTTTCAACAGGAGGATGAAGGAGAAGATGACTGAACACTGACAGATTCCAACCACGGTCTATCCCTCCTTTTCCCTCCACCAGTCCCTGGGAGCAAATTGCTGTCTTATCCCCCCCCTTCCCTCCCCCCGCCCACCCTTTTGTGCTCAGTCGCATTGTTCTCCTGAGGTCTTTTTTCCTCTCCTCTTCACCATGGTTCACAAATAATTTTGGAGAAAATATCTTGAGCAGAATACAGTGGAAGAGAATCTCGACCCATTTTCAATTTTTTTTATCCCTGTTTTGAAACAAAAAACAAACTGTCAATGACATCAACACACTGTGTTCTGTGGGGAAGAACGAGAGCCTTCTGCTCCTGTCACTCTGCTGGAAGCTGAGGAATGCTAGGCCCCCTGTGTGGTAGTGCATAGAATCTAGCTTTTTCCTTCTTTCTCTGTATATTGGGTTCAGAGATTACACTGTGTCTCTATGTGAATATGGACAGTTAGCATTTACCAACATGTATCTGTCTATTTCTCTTGTTTAAAAAAAAACGAAAAAGCTAAAAAAAATGGGGGGGTTATAGACAGGGTAAGCAAGGGTGGGTTTCAGATGTTGGGGTGGGTTAAATGGGCATTTTGACAAAACATGGCTTCTTCTCCTTTTGGCATGTTTAATCGTGATGTTTAACAAACATCTTTGCAGTTGAAGATGACACTTTAAAACAAAAAATAATAATAAATTCTCTCCTAATGATTACAGTTGAGCCCTTCCACTTGATGGAGAATCAGCAGAACCTGTAGGATCTTATTTGGAATTTACATTCTCTACTGTAATTTTGTTCCTTGTTTTGGGTTTTTTTTTTCCAACTTTATTTTTTTTTTTTTTTGTTTCACTGGAAAAAGAAAGATGCTCAGTTTTAAACGTTAAAAGTGTACAAGTTGCTTTGTTACAATAAAACTTAATGTGTACACAAGGGGGCTGATAGTCTTCACTGACAAAGCATGCTTTCGCCCCGTCCCATTTAGTTTGATTTTTCAGCGTACAACTTAGAATCACTAAGGCAAAATGCACCACAAGGGACACAAAGCAAAAATGTGGGTTGTACAAAGTCACCCCTCGGGGGTTTTTTTCCCTGTGAGTTGTGGCCGGCTGTTCCCCCAGGGCGGAAAAACATGGCAGTCCCCACCTAAACTGATAACCAAACTACAGGGAGCTGATGTGGCTGGTTTTCCAGGCAAGCGTGCGGGGCCAGGGAGACGGGTGCTGGATCTCCAAAGGCTTTGAGATCTAGAGCGATGCTTTGAAAATGAACTCAATGTAGGAAGAATTATGTAACTTCATCTGTTGGTATCAATAAAGATCATCACTGGATTGGTCCTTCAGAGTTGCTTGAATTAAAAGCTTTGCTTCCCTTGGGAATGGGCTCTGTTATGTATATAAGTGGATACTGGTGAAAAACAGCTTTAATGTGATGGTTGAAAATTAAGTCTAATTAGAAATTAAGACCAGCAAATTAAACAGCACTTGAGAAGAAAGTGTATTGGGCAAAAAAAAAAAAAAAGTAAATCCCATCTCTGATTTTGGAAGAAAGTCTCAGTGGTAAAGCGTCGTGTGCTGAACTTGTTACGCTGGTGCAACTGATCAAACTCTTAAATTTTATTCAGGCTTTTTCTTCACAGGGTCTTTTACCCAGAAAAGGTTTCTGTTGAAGTAACTGGGCTCTTATCCCCTCCTGAGTAACTGCCTTAAAATATGCTTTCTTTTTATCTGGATCTGAGATGAGATGAACTCGAGCTTGATTCCCAGCAAACAGGATCCAACCTAGAGATCCCATTGAGCACAAGATGGATGTTGGAACGTTTGCTGTGCAATTGAACCGAGAAGAGTTTAAGATTGAGAGTTTAAGAAGATTAAAATCAGGTTTACAATGAGGATTTAGGTTGCACCAAAAAGTTTATAAGGCAGAAACTAAAGAGAGGGCAGAAGCGCAGCCGCCATCGTTTCAACTGTTGAAATAATGCGGAGTGATAGTCTTCGTGGGACAAGAAGCACCAAGAAGAGATTTATTTGTTAGTACTTGATTTCTGCTGAGCCCGGTCCTCTTAATGGGTTAGTGTCCTCATCCACTTGGCAACCTGGACTGGAGGATGTGGTGGTGCCAGCCCTGGCTTCTCTGGATCTTCTACCTCCAACCTTGCCCTGAGGACACTCTTCAGGCAGCAATGAGGGTTTCTTCCAGTTCGTTCTGCCCCGTTCTGTGCTCCTGGGGCAGTTTGCACCTTCCCCGTCCTGGGCGGCGTGGTGGTGGTGGTGAACGGGCACTGATCTTCTAGATACTTTAGCGGAGGACTGAACCGTCAGGCAGGATGCTAATTATATTTAAAATAATAGCATTTTCTTCTAAGGTCTCTGAGCGCCCTGCAAGTCAGGCGTACTCTAAAACAAGGTTCATGCTGTGCACGCTTCGCTTTAAAAAACCTGAAGCATTCAAAACGGGTCTCAGTCAAGGTGTCATACAGGAGGCTTTGTGCATAGACTAATCTTTATCAGTGGACATTTATTGCGCAGAAGAAGGTGGTTGAATGTTGAAAAACCAGAGTTCAAAGGAGCAAAGGATCCGAGCGTAAGTGTCCCTGGTATATAGTAAACAATGGCAATAGAAGAAAGTTTATTGGAATGCTGCCCTTCCGGTATTCAAACCATCAATGACTGGACGGGTTCCAATACACAAGCCCCCCCCACCCCACCCCCGGCACTATTGATCGAAGAGAAATTGAGAAGGAGTATTTCAGTCCAGCCGGGGACGGGGTGCTCGTCTTGAGGTGCCAAAGCGTGCAGAAACACCCTGCGATCCTCTCCCCGGGCCTCTGCAGCTCCTTGGCTTCTTGCAGTTCCGCTCCACTCCCAAGAAAACAGGGAAATCCTCGCCTGGAATATCTCTGGTCCAGTAAGTTAGGAAGGTTGCAGGGTGAGGGAGCCTCCTCCCCGAAGCACCCACCGCAGGCAGGCATGGAGCGGAAAATGTTTGGTTTTGGCCTGGAACAAGCCGTTGCATTCCAGAAGTTCTGCAGAAGTCTTTGTCAGCAGTGGTGGAGTAGAAGACCCCACTGGCTGGCCTGGCCCCCCCATCATCCCAGCCACTTCCTTCCCACCCCCCTGGTCTTCCCAGCGCCTCCCGCCCGCCAGTGCCTCTGGCTTCCTGTCCCTCCCGCCAACTTCTCCTTGCAACCAGACAGTTCGGTTTCAAGCCATGCACACACCTTAAGCGCTCCAAACCGGCGCGGGTCAGTTGGGGGATCGTCCCCTCACAGGCAGCTGTCCCACCCATAGATCGGTTTGTCTCTAGCCCCTCTTTGTCCCTCTTTCCAACCATAAAGTGAACCCTCAAACCGAGCCACGGGGAGGACTAAGTTGGCAGCAGGATAAAGAAGGAAGCTGGAAAACAAGCCTTTCTGGCGGGACAAAGGAGTTAAAAAAAAACAGCTGGAAGACAGCTTGCCATGCGCTACTGATTCTGAATTGGCACGGAGAGATGTCACTGGAAAGGGGGCAGGAATAATTTATATAGAAAAGGGACTCTCGTGCTTCATAGGATCGAGACAGGATCCTTTCGATGCCTGTCTCAGCCAGGCCCTTTAAAGAGCGGCTGTATTGATGCCATCTGAGACGGTGGAAGAATTTCACGCAGGACCAAGATGCAAAGTCTTCTCTTCTTTTGGAGATGCTAAATTCAGGTGCCACTTTTCCTCCAGGTGTTGAAGGCAGACCCCATGTGGGAGTGGAAGGCAACGGCTAGCCCTGAGTTATCCAACGGAGCTTTCATATTTTCCCATGATTCTCTTTTTCTAAGAAATTCAAGCTTGGGGAACACAACGTCCCCCTCCATTTCACCGCTTTGGGGTGCAAAATCTCCCATTTCTCCAGGGAAGCCCACCAAATTCAGATCCCACCAAGTTCTGGCAACCTTCAATGACATCATCAGCCCCTTTTCCATTGGCTGGGAAGCAGGGGTAGGTGTGACCACTCCAGCCAATCAGTGTTTGGGAAATGGGTTCTGGGCTGGCAGGCCTTACCAGAGAGTTCAGAAACAGAGAGGCTTCATTTTTTTTCAGCCCTTCTACTCTCTGACTCTTGTGCTTGGAGGACCAATGGGCAAAAGAGATCAATTGATTGGGTTTAGGTGTTCCCATGACACAACTGATTGCATAGTTTAACCCACCCATGACTAGATCAATTTTGTGTTAAATTTAACCCCTGCGGAGTCAGTGTTTCAATGATACACTGGCTGGGTGTGCTGTGCTATATCATCATCATCATCATCATCATCATCATCATCATCATCATCATCATTGGTTTCACAGTCAGCCAGATGTTCAGACTGGAGTTGGCATCTTCACCCACCTATTGAGTCCCTCCCAAGCACCTGGGATAGGCAGATGTTGTTGTTTGAGGGTGTTAATATTATTATTAAGGTTTATTATGTTTCTAGTCACTTTATTCATTTCTGCTCTCTGAAAGCCAGTGTTGGGAAATTATTTATTTATGGATGTTTTCCCAGCAGTTTACGAAACAACTGACAAAAACATCCATCGTGGTTAAAACGTCGGAGAATCGTAAATACATTAGCACAACCCATAACAAATCAACATCTACAACATCATGAGGATAAACTATAGAAAGAGTGATAATGAAAAATAAAGCACATTTAAGAAAAGAGAACGGAACGCAATAATATCCACAATTAAATCAACCGAAGTCACTCAAAGCACAATCAATTAAAGGTGCCGAGAACAAACCTCTCCGCCAAAAAGTTCCATCTTCAATAGCTTTGGGAATGTGAGAAGGGATGGAGCAGGTCTTAATTATAACAGGAAAGTACTTCATTAAAACAAACCCCTTGGTCTCTATTTTTTATTTTATTTCATTCATTCATTCATCAAATTTACATGGCTGCCCACCTCACGAAAAAGTGACTCGGGGAGGCGTACAATAAATCAATTTTCCTCGCTTCTTCAAACTTCCCAGGAAGAATTTCCTGAACGGGCCAATCCGTACCCCAAATAAATCAATTAAAACATATGAGTTCAGCGTGAGATGTGAAAACCTGGTATTGGTGCGCCCCAACATTTAAGAGGAAGCGTTCTTCCTTCTTGGAGCAACCAAGGTCTCCCCAATAAGGTCGACTTGGGTGGGTCAACAATGAGGTCTTCCTTATACACCAAAGATCTCTCTTTTTTGGGTATAAGAAGTTATTCTTGGAGAGAAATTAAAATGGTCACCTCAATGCATTTCAGTCCAGCTTTAGGCCTGGTTTAGGAACTCTGGTGGCCCTCACAAACTGTTTTGTGTCAAAAATTGGAGAATGTCCCTCAAGACCTTTAATTTGTTCTCCTAACCAAGACCATCACATTGAGACGATACCTGTACTGTATTTTAATTCATAACAGATTCTCCTATTGTAGTAACTAAACCGTGATGTGGCTTACTTAAATGTATGGCTGAGCGTGATGCGTAAATTGAACTATTGCTGTTTTCCTTAAAAACATGGCTTATGCCACAATGCAGCAAATATCGTAGGAGAAGAGCTGTGTTGATCTACGATGGCCAAAAATCAGGAGTCTGGTATCACCTTTTCCAACAAACATCTTTTATTAAAAGGCAGACGCTTCTGTGAGCTCCAGCTTTTTAATAAAAGCTGTTAGATGGAAAAGATGCTACTTCTGACTGTTGTCCATAATGCAATAAATCAGCCAGGGATTCAATTTTTATCCTTTCTCATCTTGCCTGACCCAAACATGTGGATAACTCAGAAGTTGGTGCATTTTTTATCTTGGTCCTTTCAAGGCATTGCCCTCAACTGGGATTTCACTGGATGCAGCCAGAGATTGGACAGTTGTCTATGCTTTAATACTTTACTTTACTTTACTTTAATTTAATTTCATTTAATTTAATTTCTTGTACGCCGCCCAGAGCCACCTGTTTGCGAGATGGGCGGCCATATAAATAGGATGAATAAATAAATAAATTTAATTACATTCAATTAATGCTTTAATCTGAATTCCTCCATTGAGGAGATGAGCCCCGGTGAATCTTTCTAATTCCAAAAGTCTTACTTCAGATGTAGTCCACTAACACTGGTGCAATTCCCTCTCCCGGTAACCTGGTTATTCCCAAACCTGCATCCCGATTTGGTCCTCTGAAGGCTTACTAACCCGGGGGCGAGCAGGTGGCGACTCCCAGGTCGGGTCGACCTGGA